CGGATTTGTTTCAGCAAATTTTACTTGAAGAAACGATAGAAATATCTAGCAAAGACATGTTCAAATAATTAATCCAAATGATATCCACAATCTACGTCAAGTACTGCTTCCCATTTGCTAGGCCGTCGGATTTCACAGGCGAAGAAGTTTCGATTCTTGGAGGCGATCACGCCTTGACGTTGGCCATCAAGCCATCCACTTCGTCGAAAGTTCTGTTCGTTAACCACTTTTTCAATGGGCGATCAACGCGATGATCCATAGGAGTTTCTGTTGATGAATAGGGCGACCGTAGAAGCAAATTACGTTCTTCATTTGGCTTTGGCTGACTGTTCCATCGCCGAGAAGTTCGTTGAGATCACGTTATGAGTGTGCCGCCTTCCAACATTTCTCGAAGTAATAGAGCATAATGTGGCGTATATGAAGATGACTTTCTAGATATATTTCTGTTAAGGAAAGTTAGAAGATTATTTCTACAAAAATTCCGAATTCAATAATCCAATTTTATCGAGAGAAAAAAAGCTGCGAAAAAATCCGCAATAATTATGTATCAACCTAATATTACCGCGCAGACACGTCTTCTGTATCTTTTGTAATGAAGACTCTAACCCTCCTTTCCACCCCATTTCCGTCCTCCACTCCCTCCTCAACCCCCCTTCTACCCATCCTCCTCTCCTGCCACTCCGTCACTAGGCTCGGAACATGACACGATCAGCCGGTGATTTACTCGGAGCAGCTCACTTTCGCCTCTTCGCCGCAGTAGTGGCTGCCTAAATAGTGACTTTTAGGGCAACAACGTTACTTAAAAGAAATGACGTACATACTAAGCTGTGTGAGGCTCAATCCGCATCTCTCGTTGTACGGTAACGCTCATGTCTTTTTTTACCCCTCCTTCCTCACCTACAGATAGCGGAGTTCTTGTTTAGATTACCGGTCGGTGCAGGCGTTCAGCTCATAATACACTACCCTTGTAGCGAATTTAACCTACAAATCCCTCAGCTCCTACTCCTAGGAACACCTATTGGAGAGCGCAAATTAGTGTCATACGAAAACCGAAGTGGTTCGAACGAAGAGCAACTTTTGCCTAACGATCAACTCAGAAGCGCCTAGTGAAATAGCTCCAACACTGTTTCGCATACCTACAATTCGACAGAATGCTAAGCAACTTTGCAATCTAATCATCATTATTAACTTGCAGATTGCAAAGCATCAGCGATGGTGCTAAGAATCCAATAGAACCTGTGCAAAGTGCATATTATGCTTACCGTATTTTACTCGCAGTCAGCCCACTTATGACTACAGTACCACCGCTGAGTATAAACAAGACATTAAACCATGTGTTCAGCTTACATATTGAAACCTTTGATTTCAGGAAATCATGGCAACAAATATGATATGCTTCCAATGTGGATCGCATTATTGTAAATAGAGTTCAACTGAACTCGTAGCCGACTTCCTATGGGTGATTCTACGCATTCTCACTTGTTTACCAATCTTATTCAGAACGCCTTACTATGTTGACATTCTTAACAAATCAACTTTAAAAAGAAAAACTGCTAAATTAGAGTTTGAAGAGGTTGCACCTCCACAAATAATTATGAATCCCTACTATTTCAATGTTCCGGCTATTCTTTATCGACTGAAAAGTCTCTGTTCCTACCCTGTTACCCATTCCCTGTTACCGTAACCGCTGCAAATCCATAATTATCTACAGTCTTTTCTTATTTATATGAAACAACTAAGATAAAATTCTCTCTATATTACATGGCGATAACGAAAGCTGTATAAGAACATGTCATAGCTTGACAATTAAATCAACAATCATCGAAATCTAGCGTTTGATAAACAGAAACGGAGATAGAGAGTGCAGGGCGAAAAAAAAAGATTTACAACAAATTTCCGTTCAACGGGGAACAATATGACAAGAACAGATTGCTTTTGAAAGCAAACAATTTCTGGGAACAATGTGCTGTACAACAACAACAATTGCCCAAACACTGCATTGAGAAAATAAGACTGCCCACAACAGTGAATGCAGTGGTTTATGGCAGGCAGTCTTACCCGCATGTAGGAGATGAAAGGTGTCCACTTCCAAACAGTAATTTCCACTGTTCAGGTACGACATCAACATGATTATCCAGGAGAAGCAGTTAAGAAACCTACCGGAGCCGTTCCTCTCATTGTTTCATTTTCAGATAACACAAAGGAGATNAGACGACAGCCGCACGAATTACCTAAATTACGGAATTTGAGCCAAGCATCCGCATAAAAATCTGAATAAAATGAAAAACTAGTTGCAAAAGGCAATAGAAGTTCAGAAGATGAGATATCAGAAAAATATGAATCAATATCAAACGAAACTTCTATATATAACCATCCAGCACGTGAACAGCTCGCTGCATTTCGAAGTCCTACCTCATCATGCCTTGTCAAATTGTTTGTTTTTGCTAGCGCCAGACCAGGCTACAACTTACTATATCAGTGTAGCCAGAAATTGAGGGGAATGACGATGGACGCCGAAGTGTAAAGTTATAATAACTAAATGAATTAAAGTACAGTGTGGCAGAGCGAATAATACAACTACGCACAACCTATTTCACTGAACCTTCAACTCATCCACGTCTAAGAACTCAAACATTACATACAAACATTTTTCGAGTCTACAAGGTAATAAGATAGTGGGCCAACTGTGTGTCGTGCCTTCCGTTCGAATCCATAGGCGGTGGGGCGCGTATGCTAAAGGTACAGTATGCTGCAGGGAGTGAGAGGCCAAGAAGCTATGCTTCGCCACGGACTCTGGCTGCTTATACCATCATGCTACTATTGCATCATCCAGTCTCGTCACCCTCATCATCGCAGCAGCCGGGTCCTATCCGTCTCTTTGTACGCACTCAACGCCAACAGCACAGCTCCACAGAATTTCGCAGCATCACTATATTGTCATCTACTCTTGGTGCAATTGCTGCCAGGTCAACTACACGCAAAGATTTGGTGGAATAGTCGCAGCAAAGGATGAACAAGGAGCAGCAGTATCACAAGGCGGAAGGATTGGATGTCCCGTGCAGACATCGAGCGGGATCGTACCCAGTCCGTAGGCTCAGCGTGGTTTTAATATGTATATGTCTTTTTCCATATCCTTTTCCACATATTTCTTGCAACCATAGCTCACGCACTTAATCTAACTTTCTTTCTTTTTGTACGTAGTTTCTTAAAATATACGTAAAATCATATATCTCAACAATGTGTGCCTAATTTGTGATTTGTAGAATCACTCATTATTGCAGCCTTCCTGTGCGAAGGGATGAGCGGGTACGCAAGCCCTTATGGGACCACGCGCCCAGCACCTTGAGGGAACTCGGTGCTAGGCAGCTTGCCCCTAGACTACTGCGGAATCAGTACCAACCCGAGGTAACTTGGTAAACACCGAGGGGGCAAGGCCTACTGTGGCCGCCTGGCAAAGGCAGTTGAGCTTGCGAGCGCGCGTAGGATCCGGTCGCCTTCACGCCGTCCTGACCGCCAGCACAAGCGTTCCACCGATGCAGCAGGCGCTCGGACTGTGGTACATGATTCTCCTAAACCGCTTTGCTACAGAAGAATCTATCGAAGGACAACATTTTCAAGCCATGTCTCTCACTAACCATTTGAGACTACATGGGGATGTAAAATCAGTTGATGTACAATAACTTTAAAACCGATTGTAATGACTATCAATGTCTCAAAACGGTTTTCTTATGGTTGTTCAACTGAGTCTTGTTATTGGTTAAAGGACTTCACTGTGAATATCGAAAGCTCAGAGGTGGGCGAAATATACCATTATACTAATGTACCAGTATAAAGGAATGTCATATTTCTTGCATCACAGCTTTCTCACTCCTCACTTCCCCCGCGTACAAAAGTAGGAAAGAGTAGGCCTGAGCAATGTTCATGTTCAGAACCTGTCAGCTACATGAACACTTCAACTGATTCGAATTTCTTGGAAACATACCTCCAATCAATTTCGCCTCCAGGATGCATCGAGAAATACTTGACTAGGTATTTCAAATACTGCGATGGTGGACAAGTTTGAAATCGACAGTTTTCAAATATGCAGTCCACACCAATCCACATTCTCCACTTGAAGCGCTGGCTAAACATATTGACATTACAATTGGGTAAAAACGATTTCGCTCGTGTTACAAAGTCTAAATAATGCGAAGTATTAGGAAAGCAATGTTGCAAACAACATGCCATCGTAGCCTACCATAACTGGAACCTAGTAAATTAGAAGAATTAGAAATTTCCATATTTTATTGAAATGTCCCTTGAGATAATCTTGCACATTTCTCTGGAGTGTTTCGGCGTAAAAGTGTAAGTTTTTAACATTGTATCATGATTTTCAATTCAAATATATCACCTTCAATCACACGGAAATCTACTGGCTTAAATAACCTACTCTTTCTTCTAAAAGCCTGATTCTAGATTAGCAAAGAACAAATCGCTGTGTATACCATATCTACAACATCACCCAAATAATCTCAATATCTCGCTTAATTATAGAGGGATAGTTTGGTAGCACTTTAACATGTTATTCTAGACGCCAGTAGGTGCTTTCAGACTCCACCGTCGGCCGGTCGGTAGGTCAGTGAAATTGCACGTCGATGGATTAAGAAAGCACTCATTAGCAGTTTCTGTTTTTGATCAATCCCGTTTTTGGGATGTGGTCACCTCTGACTTAATTTCAGGATTGGCATAGTGGTGCCTTGAATACATGTGTGACCCATACAATGACTTGCGCTCGCCACCCGATGTACAACTGGTACTGATATCCTCCCAGACCGGTTTGGTATTAGTATTTGACCCGTGCGAAAGGAAGACAACGGCTAATGTTAGCTTCTCGATGGAAGGATACTCGGTCGCAGTGGCCATTCAAGATGAGATGTATACTCCCGTAGGTGGTTCGAACGCTAATCTCAAATCTATGTTCCAAATCTGCGAAACGATTCTGGGAACAAAGCTACGAGACCGTCGCTTTCCTCCGTTATACCATTGTACTGGACGGATCATCGAGCCGAACAAATACCTGTGCAATGATGACGCAGAGGGTAGGACGGTAGACTGGTAGCTAAGAAATCAAGGTTTGGTTCATTGATGCATGTGCTCGTTTTGCTTTTCTATGAAATACGTCCTAAACGCTCGCAAAACGTTTTTAGGCCAACGCTGGGCTCTTACGGAACTCCCTCTCACATTAGGAGCACTGAAAATGTATGACGGAGAAGTTTTTTTGTCCCTTGCTGGCCGAATAAGGGTGGAACTCCATTCGAGCAAAAGACGAACTCCGAATATTCGCTCGAAATGGCTTTAATGGGCTTCAAGGAGAAAGGTTCCAAATCTCCAATTTTATGGCACTGGTAGAAGAGCCCAAAGCCTTCTG